ATTTATGCATACCAATCATTCAAAGGGGGGGGAAGATCCATTTTGGTCCAGATTATTTTGAATATAAGACCTTTAATTCCAAAGTTTTCTGGTTTGTTGAAGGTTGTTTCCCAGAAAAATAGTGGGGTAAGTGAAAAATACAAAGGTGACCGCCACCCCAACGACCTAGAATTCCAGAGAAAACTGGGCCCCAGAGCATGAAGAAAGAAAGGACAGCTGCCTTCTCTTTCTGTTCTCTCAGCCTTTCCCACAAGGTCACTCTTTTTAATTAAGAAGCCAAATAATTTTCGTCGGTAACTGATAAGAAAGCAAATTAAATTTCATTTGGTTTGAAAAAGTATTCCAGTATGCTATAAGTTGATCTAAACCCATTCTAGGAAATTTAACACTATATATATTTCTTCTATTACTTCATGTTTCCTCAATGAAGAATCTCTTAAGACAAAAAATAAAAAGCACTGGAAAAAACAAAAAGGTGCGCACCCTTACATGGGGGAGGGGTTTATACTTCTTTAAAAGGATTTTGACAGTTAGAAGAAGATGCAAGCGGAGAGCCAATTTTTTCTTTGAGAAACTCCATGTAGTCATTTTCCTATCATGATTCATTTTAACTACTAGGGACACAATTTTTTTTTATTCTATAAATTATACATCATAATGGTGACATAACCTCTCCATTAAAAACCTAATGATGAGAATGAGCTCTTGCTAAAAAGTTCCAGTAAGTTCAGGCAAATCAACCAAAGTAGCTTTACAACAAAAGTCAAATTAAATGGACATCCCTTTTTCCTTACTCCCTTATGTCAGCAATGGTATATCTACTGGACATACTCCTATTTACTTAGGAGAAAAAAACATTTATTTATTTATTTAAAGATTTATTTATTTATTTGAGAGCAAGAGAGAGAGCTTATGAGCAGGGGGAGGGGCAGAGAGAATTAGGAGGAGAGAGAATCCAAAGCAGCTCCTTGCTGAGCATGGAGGCCCACACAGAGCTTGAGCTCATGACCCTGAGATCATGATCTGAGCTGAAATCAAGGGTCAGACGTTTAACCAACTGAGCCACCCAGGTGCCCCAGGAGAAAAATATTTAGAACTTTTGTTAGGATAAAACCAACACACACTTTGTGAGTGTGGACCCACATGAATGCTTCTTTGAGGTTAAATAGTCTTAAAATGCTGACAGTAATAATACTGTGCACTGTGGTATCATTCTTATTCTAAGATTGTTGTGTGTATGCTGTGGGATAAAACAGATGAGTAATTACTTTGGTGTCTCTAGGACCTGTGATTGCCAATATGGCAAAAAAGGAGAAACACATGTAAGATACATGAGGTAAAACACAGTGGCCTTGAATCTGAATTGAAAATTTCAGTTTGAACACATAATGATTTTATCTTTAAACAAGAAATGCAGCATTTATTATTTCTATACTAGCTGTGTCCAATGAAAAGACCAAGAAACAAAGACAAACCTAGGAGCAATGAGCACCTGCAGCACCAAGATTATGCTCTTGTAAATACTAAAAGGACCAAAGTTCCTTGGAGAAATGTCTGGATCCAGGTTTGCATCATAATATATACAAGAAGAGCCTGAATCATCCTATAATACCAGGAATCAAAGAAGCTATCCAAAATTACTAACGGCATGTCAAAAGGACTCCAAAACTAATTCAAAGAGGGTCCAATAGTACAAAATAGGACACTTTGAGCATAAAGACATAATTCCTCATGGACTGAAATATTTCAAATATGGTTAAATATGTCAATATGTAAATATTAATAATAATAAACTTACTGGTCACTTTGGAGGATGCTAGGGAACCGATGCCTTAGAACTAATAAAGAAAAAGGATTGGTACTATCTTCTATCTCTGGTTAAAAAAATGTTTAATGAGGACAAGTTTCTGTTTATAAAGTTTCAGCTAATATAAGTGAAAAAAATGATGAAATATCACCATTTTGCAACATCTAATGAATTATTGGATTTAGACAATGATCATTAATGACTGCTAACATTAAAAGAGAAAACTAGACAGTATTCCTGCTGATAGAAGTACCACCTAATGGTCTTGCTAAGAAGCAATATGACCTGAATCCAATAAAGAAAGCCTCAATATAGAAATACCAATGAACAAAAAACATCATGGTGGTACAACTAGCAAAAATTAGATTGTGGAATACTCTACTGGATAAATGACTAGGTTTTTTGTTTTTTTTTTTCAATAATAGAGAGGGGGGATGGGGCGCCTGGGTGGCTCAGTTGTTAAGCGCCTGCCTTCGGCTCAGGTCATGATCCCAGAGTTCTGGGATCGAGCCCCGCATCGGGCTCCCCGCTCGGCGGGAAGCCTGCCTCTCCCCCCTCCACTCCTCCTGCTTGTGTTCCTCTCTCACTGTGTCTCTCTCTGTCAAATAAATAAATAAAATCTTTAAAAATAATAATAATAATAGAGAGGGGGGAAGGCACAGGTCAAGAGAAATATAGAAGACATATCAATTAATTGTAATGTACAGACCTTATGCTAATCCTGATTGAGCAATGTATGGATCTTAATGCTAATCCTAATTCAAGCTAAATTTTAAAAATATTAATAAGATTATTGGAGAAATTTTAAAACAAACTATATAATGTTATTAAAGAAATATTGCTGGTTTTTATGTAGGACAATGACATTGTGTTTCTTTATCTTCTAGAGATACATGCTGAAATGTTAATGAATGAAATAATATGATGTCTGGCATTTGCTTCAAAATAATACATGGGGAGGGAGAAAATGTAGGGATGTAGATGAAACAATATTGGCCATGAGTTAATAATTATTCAACCTGAACAGTGAGTATACAGAGGTTCATTATACCATTAGTCTCTATTATTTTGACATTTTCCTGCATAATAAGTTTAAAAATATTCTTGTTGAAATTTGTCCATGAACATCAGATCACTTTGGGAAATCCTTAAACAATAAAATTCATGCTGCTAAAGTTAGGATACAGATTTAAATCGTAGAGCAGATAACAGGTCATTTGAGGCCATTTGGTCAACCTTTTGTCATCCAACCAGATTTTACCAAAACCATCCATTCTGTTCATTTCTAAAACACTAGCACAGTTGTCTTTTTCTACTTCATTGCAATACTCCATGATGCAACCAGACACGAATAGACTCAGTGAGGAAAACAGAAGGAAGCATTAAAAAATCAATTTGGTTTTTCTCCCCCCTACTTTTATTTTGGTAACTTTACCAATTGAATGATACCTGCAAATTAATTTTATCAAGCAAGATTTTCCCACTATACAAACAGCTTTCCTCATCACAGCCAGGAGGAAAATGAATCTTCCAAAGCAATTCTCTCCCAATTCTCGCTATACAATCCACACATCTGTGACAGTGTACTGTCTCACTGAAAGCTCACAGCAAAAGCCACCATGATATAAATACATGGGGGCATAGAGCATGCTGAGCTCTTCTCTGATGGTCCCAAATGATTCTAGGGCATATAGTTATGACTGGGGGATACCCTGAGGGTTGACTACAACTAATGAAATACCAAATATATCTAATTAATTGCATTGCTCTGGGCTAATGAGAGACCAAAAATTTCCAAACCCCTTGAGATGGTCATATTTATATAGAATTGTGCTACATACCTACTCCTTTATCTCTTATGCCTATGTCTTTGGACAGCTTAGCTACACTGATTCAAACCTAACCATTGGGATTCTTCTTATGAACTCTGACAAAAAAGGGCCAGCATTACGGCGATTCCTGTCTTGCATTTCATTAGAAGCTGTGCGCTTTGGGTGCTCAGAAGTAGAAAATACTACATTCAGCCTACTTTATCAATAGGAGAATCAGGCCAGATAAGATTTTAAAATAATTATCAGCATACAAATTACACCCAGAGATATGAGAAACTTCCCCCCATAAGCACATACTCTAATGTAGTTAAAAATTTAGATTTGATAATACTGAAAAGTGAAAGACATACATTTGTTTGTTATATTGGAAATCAGATTGTTAATATTGGAATTACAGCCAATGCTCAATTTATCCATGGTATGGTATGAATAAGTACAATTCACACATAACTTAAAACTTTTGCAATTGGTTTCAATATTTTCCTTCAACAGTTCTTTATTAGAACTAGAAATATGAACTAATAATTCTACTTCTCTTCCTTATACTGCTTATCTTTCTAAAAAGAAAGAAAAAGTGGTAGGCAGTAGAGTCATATGGCAGAATGAGGGGGGTAAGAGGGAGCAGAGAGAGGAAACAGGAGATATAAGGAGTAGGAGGAAGAAAAGGTGAGCAGGCTTCAAGAAAAGGAAGTGGGAAGGGTGGTTTACAGAAGGCTATGGGGAAAAAAAGACCGAGGTAATGAAAAATGCAAATTGGGATAATTGAGTGAATGGTATTTATACCTCATTTCTCTTCAAGAATCCACTGTTAATGATTTTCAGTAATGCATAATTTCAATATGGTATTCTGCTGAACATACCAACATATCTGTTAGATACCAAGTTATGGTATCTCACGATCATAGGGTCTATTTGCATGCAAGAATCTACGCAACATTATTAGAGAATAAATAGCTTGCTGTGTTTTGTAGTCTCAGGTAAATTTTTATAACAACTTCCAAAGGAGTTTATGTCCTAAAGTTCCTTAACATTTCTGTTTTGAAACAGAAATGTGTGTACTTCCTTTTGGCTAACATCCAATTTAACCAATAGCAAATTGAGCTAAATAAGAAGAAATCTAAAGATATCTTGGGGAAGCATCCAGTATTTTTTGGATCCTCAAGCCAATCAAAATGGAGAGAACAGAAGGTAGTGTAGGTGGAATAAATGGGGCCTAGTTGCTGGCTCATCAAGTAATCATAATAGTCAAAAAACATCTAACAATCAATTTGAAAAATAACTCTGTTCATTTGATAGCTGGAGAAAGAACTCAGCAAGGAGCTAGCATAGAAGACAATGAGGCCATCTCTCAGAGGACTCACCTGTCTTTCCCAGTTTCCTTCTTAAAAACGCCATCACAGTAACTCATGCGCTTCTCGGTGGTCACGTAAATTTGGGCATTCGGGTAGATGTCAACAGTCTTTTTCAGCATGTTGTAAACGATGCCATTGCCGTCTTTCCTCATATTGCGGAAAGGGCCCCAAATGACATAAATAGTAGCATTTGCTTCCTTGAAAAAATAATCAGGGTTTTTTAGCAAAAGAGGAACGCTGGTATGGGACACGACTCGAATCATTGTCATGCGGCCAACATCTTCTTCATAGCCCTTGGTGGGGGCATTGTTCATTCTCCAGATGCAGGACGACTGATCTATCTCATTCCCCACCTTCTGGCCAACCATCTGACCTGAGTTTGACACTATGGCGCAAAGGTCACAGTCCAGCTGCAGAGGCTGAAAAACAGAGAAATGAGACAGGGGAGAGATATGTAAATGAGTAAGTTCCAGCTATCCAAACAAGTTCCTCTGAGAAAACGAAATTCAGATATTGTATATAATAGCTGAGTGTGGGATTTCCTGAAATATATGGGCCAATCCTACAGTAGCCACCACAGGTTATCAAGCTAGGGGCATGCTTCCATTTAAAAAGTGAATACAGATTGTTAAGAAATAATTTTAATTTCTATCCCTTTGCGTCAGTTTAAAATTAAAAGGAAAAATAGACATTTGTTTTTCATTCTAAATAATGACTTTTTATTCAAAACCATAATTTCAAATGAAATAAGGCAATAGGGGAAGATTTGATCTCTTTAATAAGGACAGTGGCTAAAAAAAGAAATGCAAAGGGAATATATCCAGGCATCAATTCTGTATTTTACTTATATTTATGAATAGTTATGTAGCAGTTGATGAAAATATGAAAAATTCAGCAAATGATGAGGTTCTGAAAAAGATGTTCAGAACCAAGACCTATTTAAGACAAGTCTCAGGCTGGCAAATATTTTACAAAAACCCTTAAAAAATTCCCTGTATCACCATGTTAACTGGCCTTTGTGTTTCTATTTTAGATGGATAAGGAAAGGCTTCTTTTAAGAACTCAGGGAAGGAATGTAAAAGAGATAATCATCTCTAGTGCTGGTCTAACCCTCCTTGTTTTAAACCAATGACGTAACAGAGACTCATAGAGGGTAGCACCACCTTCTAGAACTTGTAGATGATAGATTCAAATTGCAGTGGTAGATTCAAATTTAGATCTTCTAACTCTAAACCCTTTGCTCTTTCCATTATTCCTTGCATTCCTTCCTCCCAGGCAAACCAAATAAATTCCTTTTGCCACTTTGCTCCTACGTGAGGAAAAGTCACCCTACCTTTTAAAACAGTGATAAAGGAGCAATGCACTCTGTTGATATATATCTTTCTCATCTTCCTTCTATTAGATTCCACATTTTGTATCTGACATTTGATCCTGTATTTTTATGGTGCCTATTGGTCATTGGTTCTTCTCACACTGGGTACTGCCCTTATTTTATTAGTTATGTTGTATTTTATTGCTTATTTATGTCTGTCCACGATATAGTAAACTCTGTAAGAGTCAATGTCTGTCTTTTTCATTTTAATCCCACTCCCCAGAAGTCCTGGGATTACTATAGGAGCCCAGTATATAGTGATTAAGTTAGGAGAGCAATTGAATTAAAATAATTTATCAGGAGCCTCAACACTGAACTTAGTATTAGGGAAGACATAGACTTTTCCAAATTCGTTGAGAAATGTTGATTTAGATGAAAGAGAAACACAATCCGGAAGAAATCTATCAATATACAAACAGGTCAGTCTAGGTGGTTAGGTTGAGAGGCAAAGTACCTCAGAAAAGTCACCTGTATAATTACCACACAACTGTAACAAGATGTCTTTCCTATCAATGGTAAGTATCCAAAGTAGTTATTGAGCAACTATGATGTGTTATGTCCTAGGGATTGAAGATTATTCAGCTGTAAAATTTTAAGCAAAATCCCCTGACCTCATAGATCTTACATTCCACTGGGAGGAGAAAGGCAATTAATAAATCAGCATAGTATATAATATGTTAGATGAAGATAGGTGCTAAATAGAGAAAATTAAAGCAAGGAAGGGTAGGATATGTGTATGTGTGTCTCTGTGTGTGTGTGTTGTCAGAGAGATGACCAGGGAGACATCCTGTAGGCTCTTTTATTTAGGAGCCTTCAGAATGTTCTGAATAGGGAAGTGGCTGATCTGCATTATATTTTAACAGCCCTGGCTGTGGTGTGGAAAACTGACAAAAAGGAAACAGGTAGAAACTCGGAGAACAGACTACTGCCACAATCATGGCAAGAGATGATAGTGCCTTGGACTAGGTCGGATAGCAGAAGAGGTAGCAACATCCTGACCACACGCTGAACATATTTTGAAGGTAAAGCCTATTGGGTTGACCAGTAAGATGGACTGCGGGATCTGAAAGATAGGGAGGAATCAAAGATAACTTCAATTTTTAGCCTAAACAACTGGAAGACTAAAACTGGCTTTACATGAGAAGGCAAAGGCTTTAGGAGGAGCAGGATCAGCAGAGGAGAATGAGCTCATTTTCAGACCTGTTAGATTAGAGATGTTTTGAACACAGACTCCCCGTAGCTAATGTTACAACAAAACTACTCAAACTGCTTTAAAACACTTTTTTTTCCTGATTATTGAAGTAATATGGGCTCATTGTGGAAAACTTGAAAAAAAATAAATAAAAGAATAAAAACTCTTCATATTTCCACCACTTGACAACTGTTAACAATATTTTGTGTTATTTTCCCCCTTCTAGATATAGTAGGTTGAGAAATACTATTTATAAAATTTGGCAATCTTGGTTTTTCAACTATTTCACACCATTAAACTTTCCCATGCCAGTAAACAGTCCTTGGAGATGTATTTTTTAAAGATTTATTTATTTGTTTGGGGGGGAGGGGCAGAGGGAGAAAATCTTCAAGCAGTCTCCCCACTGAGTGTGGAGCACCGAGGCGAGGCTCAATCCTAGGACCCATGAGATCATGACCTGAGCTGAAACCAAGAGTTGGACGCTTAACCAATTGAGCCACCCAGGCACTCCTCCTTAGAGATACCATTAATGCCGATACAATATTCCCTCATGTGGACATAGCATAATGTACCTATTTGCCTACTGCTGGGCATTTGGCTATTATCTAATTTTTTCCTTTATAAAATTGCTTTGGTGAACATCCTTGTGTTTCCCACCGTATTTTGGATGCTAGCAGTTATTAGGTTAATTTAACTTTACTTCTTTTAGTTTTTATTGTGCACCTGTGAAATATGCTAAATGGACAAATGTTTCCATTTGTTTAATGTCAAAATGAAGGATTTTGAAAAAAACTTGACTGGTTAAGTCCACAAAGGTCTGCTTATGAAGTTTCTTTTTTTCCTATATAAAAAGAGATTCATTGAACTGTTAGAATCATGTAAGGTTTGAACAGGGCTGGACATGAAACAACATAGGCTCAGGCATGTATTGGATATGCCACTGAGGTCTCGCCATTTATGAAGTGTCTTAAAACTCAGCTATCAAAGGGACTGTCCATCACCCCTGCTACAATAAGAAATCTGAACAGCAGGTTAGAATAGGTCTGCTCAAGGTGGGTGAGTATATTAGGGAACTTGGAAATGGGGTTCTGTGGGTTGGTGCCATAGTGAAGACTTCATTGATGGCCAGATGGGGGCATAAGAGGCTGCCTCTTGGGATGAGATAGTGATCTAAGACCTTCATGCATCTAGGAGCCTACAGTTTTTCAGGGCAATAAGGAAGAACACAATATTCTTCCTGCCAGATGATTTGCAGCAGGGCCTAACATACATTACACTTAGCTAAGTCCTCCAAACCCACTTAGAGTCATGCAAATCAATGCCTGATTTAAACTGTGTGTGTCATATGGCACACTCCAACTTATCACCAAGATGCATATGGTGCAGGGAGGTTACATTCCATTTTCTGTTCCAAGAAGTTGCTTCACTGTATAATAAAAGCATTTTTGGGTATGGCCTCCACAAATTAAAAAAAAAAGAAAAAAGAAAAAAGATACAAAGAGCCTCGGATGTGTTCTAATCTACAAATTTGCATCGGATTTCCTAGTCGTTGAGTGAATTAGCTGGTTGTGCTGTAACAAGCCTTAATTTAACTAATAAGAATCAGCATACTGGTTTCACTTGACAATTGTAACCTCTGAAAGTGATCAATTAAGACATCACAATCTGTTTCATGACAACATATTGGGAAGCCGCAGCTGTGCAGATTATGAGGTCAGCAGCTGACTAACAACTTGAGGGCAAACATTGGCAACCACTGCCTCTTGTTTATGTAACAAATATGTAATTGGGCAGAGGGCTAGGAATGTAATGGCTTGGGGGATAGGTGGTGATCTTTAAATCGTCCCTTTCCTTTATATATTGTCACCATAGCCAGAGTCGTAAGAGCCTTTCACGTACCTATCCTGCTTAGCCACAGTCTGCCTAGCTGCCTGACATCCTAAATGAGGTACCAGGAGACATGGCTGCATATGGTGATGCTCTATTTGCCACTTGGTCACAGGGACCATTTTACAGTATGTTAGGAGAGCCGGGCTGTATGAATGCAACAGTCCTAATCATAATCAGAAGCTTCAGGTAACACCAAGAGCTTGTTAAGGCCCAAGGGACTCATTTATACGTTTGAAGACACTTCAAACTACGGTAAGCCATGATAAAAAAAGAAAGAAATACCTAGGCACGAATGGACAGTTTGACCCAAGAGTCGCTCTTATCTGGTTATCTCAGTTCCTTTTATTAGCTTCATTGCTACATCTTGTGATCTCAACTTTCTTTGTTAAAATGTACTGCTGTTTTTTGAACTTGTTTATATTATTTGACTTGTGGCCCTTGCTCAAAAATGTATTCCATATGTCTCCACTCGCTCAGTTCTGCCTCAGTAAGCAGTTTCTTCCCAGATTGAGGCCCTGGATTTTCTGAGACCTCTGGAAAGATTTAGCCAGCTCCGCTGCACCAAGCCCTATCTTAATTTTGAGTTCTCCTTTTTAGTTGACCTGTCCTTATTTTTTTGTTTCTTTTCTTTAAAAACAAACTTGACCCCTTCATCTTTTTGTCTTGTACACTCAAAGCATCATCAAGCCAAATACTTTGGTTGGGCTTGCGCTGTGTCTATAAACTGATATCGCCACAAATATTCAGCCGACTGTGTCTGGGCAACTGTGTCCCTGTTAAAAGCCCACAAACATCAAACATGTCCTTTCCTTCTTTTTTTTTTTTTTTTGAGATTTTATTTATTTATTTATTTGAGATAGAGCAAGAGAGAGCATGAGCGGGGGGCGGGGGGGGCAGAGGGAGAGGGAGAAGCAGACTCCCCGCTGAGCAGGGAACCCGACACAGGGCTCCATCCCAGGACCCTG